CCTGTGACCCCAGCCACTGCCAGCTGCTGGAGACTGGGGGTGGGGGCATATTTGGCCAAACCCTTCCCTGCCTTCGGCTACAGAGAACAGAGACTAGCAGACTCCCGTTAATGGCCTGGCTTAATTGTCACAGGCTGGGATGATCTCGTTTGCAACTGGCCCTGCTTCCTCATTATTACCAGCAAGGATAACTTAATGTCACTCACTGGAAAACATAAGTCATGGTTTGAGGGAAAATGGCAGCGCCAAGGAGGCCATGTTCCTGACGCGCCTCTCATGTGAACCCCCAGGCATATTGGGTCCATGGCTGGGCATATGGCTTCTCTCAGCTTCTAGCTAACACATCTTATCCTGGCTCAGCAGCTGGAGTGAGCAGCAGTTCTTTTAGAGCCAGTGTGAGTTACTAGCCTCCATCCCTTCTCCAGTTCTCCAGGGCATGACAGAGGGAGCCAGATGTTCTTAGTTGTTAGATGACTGTCTTCTGTGGGCCTCTAGGTGGGTGGGCAGCCAGGGGACCTCTCAAGCCAGAGAGGGTTTCCCAGTGGCTCTCCCCATGAGTTCCTCTTCAGCAGGAGGCAGGCTGATTCCTAACCTACTTCTGGTTCTCTAGCATACATGGCAATGACTGATTTGACCTCATTTCCTAACACAGACTCCCCTGTGCTGTACCTGTCTTGATGGGTGGGTGAGACACATCAGTGTGTGGGGTCTGGGAGCTCTGATACCAGGACCACTGGTTATCACCAGGCATGATGCCACAGGATCAGGGTGCGCTCAGGGAGGCTCATCTCCCTGAAGGGGCTGGGCAGTCACAGTTTACTTTCTTCTCTTAGCACCCCCATTCAAGCATGCCTGCCTCATAGAACTTTTCTTCTTGTTTATTGTTGGGTCCCAAACTAGTCACAAGAGTTGGAAGACCCCACTCTTTATGTGCAGGGTGGGTGACTCATTGAGATAGCCTGGCCACCCAGAGTGCTTGCTCACTGCTGCAAGATAGGCCTCATGTGCCAGCAGAACAAAGGCTTTAGAGGTCACTGGTCACTGGTCAGATCCACTGCTGGGAAGGACCACATTCCCCCAGAGCCTCCATCCTCAGGCCCCAGGCTCTGTGTCCATAAACGCATCTGGATTAGTTGCCACCAAGTAAAAACAACCATTCAAAGATAATCCAGAGTATCATTACTGTTCAAAAGCAAACAAATAAGGACTGGAGAGATGGCTCAGTGGTTGAGAGCACTGACTTCTCTTCCAGAGGACCCGGGTTCACTTCCCAACATGGCAGCTCACAACTGTCTGTAACTCCAATTCCAGGGGACCCAACACTATTGCACATAAAATAAAAATAAATAAATTTAGGAAACAAAACAAACAAAAAACCAGGGTCTTATGCAACCCAGGAAGCCTCAAACTTCTTATGTAGCCACACCTGACTTGAACTGCTTGTACCCCCCATGCTCAGTCTCCCAAGTTTTGGATCACAGGCATGGCATGCCCAGCCCAGCTCAGTTTAGATTTTTTTTTTTTATGCCGGAAGTCCTGGCACCCTTCCTGGCTTTCTCTACCCCCATATAACTGAGAGCAGTGGGTGGGTTTCTGGTTAGCCTTGCCCTTTGTGGTAGAAGACATCTTATCTAGACCTAGGTCTAGAGATAACTCCCATTGCTGCAACTTCTTTCTGGGAACTGAGGTTGTCTCCCCCAAATTCCCTGTCTGCTTCTTCATTCTGGGGAGACTTAAGTGGTAGAAAGAACTGTCACTCGGGAAAATGGCAGCAGACTGGTGTAAATGGAGTGCTAAATGGTCTCCATGTGAGGGTGTGTATTCACACCCCTAGAAGCCAGGTGGGAACACCAGTGACCCATGCTGGAGAGGCTGGCTGGCTCTGGCACATGGAGGGCTCTAAGGTGGCTTTCTTCTCCAGCTGCCCCGCTTTGATCTTGCCCATTTTTTAGCATTGTTTTGAATCAAATCATGAAGAGGAGGGGCAAGGGAAAGATAGAAAGGCCACACTTGTGCCTTATTCAAGGGGGAGCAGATTGATCCGAAGGCTTCAGAGGAGTGAGACACTTCTAGCTAATTTGAAGCTATATAAAAAAAATCTTTTTTTCTTTTTACATTTTTTTTATGTATTAAGGAAAGAGATTTGAACATGTTTCTCTTTCTAGGAAAGGCAATTTGTTTGGATAAAGAACAAAGGACCTCCCATGTTACTAGGTGGTTCTGTTGGAATGTGTGTAGAAATTGGCTATTTCAAAGTAGCCCTCTCCCCTAGATGGAAGCTTCTGAGTTCCAGGTTAGCAATCTCGGCAGGGTGGGACAGTGGCAGGAGCTCTGGCATCTGACAGGCTGCCATTTAAGTCATGTGAGGTCTCCAAGCTTTAATTCATGGGCTGAGTGGCATGGACTTCCTGAGTCGGCTCCAGTGGAGACAAGGCACACGAAGCAGTGGGCATATTGTACTGGCAAATGGATGGTAGTAATGAATGTGATTATTTTGTTTGAGAAATTGAAAGGGCGTGGTTGATGAAGAGGAGATAAAAATGAAAGAAGAAAAGGGGGAAGCCCTTCCTATTAGCTTTATAGTTAGGTTGGAGGTTGGGGTTCCCATGTCTGACTCCTTCGTTGCCACAATGTCTCTCATCTTCCAGGAAGCTGCTGAGTGAGAGAGGAGAGAGAGAGAGAGAGAGAGAGAGAGAGAGAGAGAGAGAGAGAGAGAGAGAGAGCATGGCATCTGTAGATGACCCGCTAAGGACATCCCATCCCAGGTAGAATGCTGCTTTGTGTAGTGGTCTTTTGGCTTGGCCGGCCTCAAATTTCAGATCCTCTTGTACGCAGATCCCTGCTGGGATTATAGCTGTGTGCTGTGTCCCACCCGGCTGTTGAGTGCAGTTGTGTGGAGGTGAAGGTCACCTGTCCCTGTCACAACAATATTATCAGGCTTCTTTCCATGGCAAAATGAAGGGAAAGGATGCCCAAGCTGCACTGCGATGAAGAACAGTTGCTGGGGAAATAAAGGCTGGTGGGCAGGGGAAAAGCT